AGAAGTATATATAGGATTTCTAAACATGGCCGGGAAAAGAACTATTTATCGTCAGGCAAATTAAGATTGTCGTGATACCTAAATGGTTTCTACTCGTTTTCACTACAATCAGCCATTCAAAGTAGTTGTTTGGAAGCACAGACAACGTGTTTTTGTTACTTATGGTGTGCCTTTTCTGGGAAGTCATTAGAAGAATGGAAAAAAATGCTTAGCCATTCCATCCTGACCCTGATAAGTTTTTATGCTAATTCTGCTGTTGTTGTTGTACTGCTGTTCTAGTTTCTCATTTTTGTCAGTTCAAATTTTAGCGCCAATTATTCTCATGGTTTAAGTGTGCAGTGTCTTTCGATGGCTTTAAATCATCTCGATCCTTTCGTTATTTCTTTTTTTATATTTGCAACATACAAGTCCGTATGCACTATGCAATTGATGAACTTACGATCTCTTAACTTTTTTTTTTTTTGAAGAAAGTATAGGCCCAGATCCACAGCAGTCGAGTTGGTCCACAGCATGCAAGCCCTCAAGGGTCCTATAATCTCTTCTTGAGCTGCATCTTTGATACTTGTGGTCTATACTTGGTCCACAGCATGCCCTTGGTCCACAGCATGCCACAGCATGCCTATACTTGGTCCACAGCAGTCAACTTGGTCCTCAGCATGCAAGCCCTCAAGGGTCCTATAATCTCTTCTTGAGCTGCATCTGTGATACGCACCAAGTGCTGTTTATTCAGGCCTGTATATCATCTCTAAGCACAAATACATTCACATTCAGCACTCTTGCCCTTGCGATCCCCGACTAGTTGTGTGGTGTCGGATGTAGCTGCGCACATAGTGTGTACGTCTCATTGACCCATAGTGGGTACGTCTCACAGTGTGTACGTCTCATTGACCCATAGTGGGTACGTCTCACAGTGTGTACGTCTCATTGACCCATTGTACATCTCACAGTGTGTACGTCTCATTGACCCATTGTACATCTCACAGTGTGTACGTCTCATTGACCCATAGTGTGCACATCTCACAGTGAGTACGTCTCATTGACCCATAGTGTGTACATCTCACAGTGAGTACGTCTCATTAACCCATAATATCGTTGATTGTTTTATAAAACTTGTAGTGAATCACCAAGAAACTTATAATGCTTTTGCTGACTGGTTTAATAATTTATAAATTTATACTCTGTTTAGTATGGCTATCGAGTAATATAACAATATATGATTTATACCCTGTTTATAATGGCTATCGAGTAATATAACAATATATCGTTTTACTTACATGTGCGTGATCCAGAGATTTCTCTGCTGTGAACGATGAATAGAGCGCAATCACCGTCACTAAACAAAGAACTGTTTGTTCACGTCTAATATTAGGTCCTACTATGTCTTATGATGATTTGATACTCGCCTAATAAGTCAATTTATGAATTATTCTCTTGATGTGGCATGCTGCACTCAGGAATTAGTGCGCACTGCGAGGTTTTATGAAAGGACAACATCGTAAATCTGACGGACATGAATAGCTTCTTTAAACTAGCAGCTTGACACATGGTTCCTTCAGAAGCAATCACAAATTCTTCGAAAAAATTTCGGATGCGATTTTTATTCAGACTGTGAAACAAGGGATCGTTCTTTTAGCGCTTATTTAATTTAATGATATATGGTCATCTGAGCTGCTAATTATCTTCAAATCTCAACCTTAATTGCTAGATACATGCCCAGATATAATTACGGGGGTCAGTCGTGGAGAGAATTTCAAGATTAATGTGATGACTCGAGATTGGTCTTTTTATGATAAGTTAAGTTAAATGTTACAAGGTGCCATCATTTTGCCTCCATTATAATTCTTAATCTTGTTTGTGATCTTTTTCCATATCATTAATGTCCTGGTGAAATCTTACCGCTTGCTGTCCACTCAAATTTGCCAAAAATTTACGCGATGGTAATGACGAAAATTCCCATTCAATTTCACCAGGCCACGTTAACGTTATAAGCTCACAATTCTTATATCATTCGTCTAGAAATATTCTTGCAATTTATGTCGTTGATGTTTTCTTAAATATTTCGATAAGCCGCTAGATACACACCACTAAAATTAGAGAATTTCTCGTTATTCTTTTGAGCTTTAGATTAGTTATCAGCCATTAATTTCTCGGTTAGTTAACTCAACTGTCATTATATTTTCGCCCGAGTTGGTTTCGTTGCCAAATATTAAGGACACTCTAACTTTGGAACTTATTTTACTTATTAGGTACTTCATCAAATTATCCCAAGAGGTGGTTGAAGAAAATCCTAATAAGGTATCAACGTTTCTTGTGGATATTTTTCTTAACTGAGAGGGAGCACTCTTAAAATCCAACTCATTCTCATGCAGTTATAACAGTCAGCCTAGAGTCCTGCGGCCATACTTTCAAAAATTGCCAAGTGAACGTAAGTAATTACGCCCTATTTTCTTGTCTGTGATTGGTGGATTTTGCTTAAAAGGCCGTCAATGATTGGTTCACGAACATACGATTTCTTAAATTTTTTTGAAAATATTGGCCCTAGACTGTTCCATGCACGAGGAGTGCTATAGGGTGTTAGGTATGCCCTGCAACTTGTTGCCCGAGCAATGTAAACAGGGCATTCAAGCACTTGCATACCAGCCAACAGTAACCTTATATTTGAGTTCACACAGAATTATTTTGTGTTATTTTTACTAAGGCCTATAAAATTGCGTACATCATGAGTAAGCAATGAAAATTGTAAGAGATTTGGTTGGTGAAACAATTCTTCACAACTGGTATTTATTATTAATATAATAATATCTATCACTGGTTTTATTATATTACTTAGAATAACATTACGGAGAATCATGTATGATTTTAGATGACCGTAAAAAATTTTCAACACGCTATAAATAAAATAAATCATCTCCCGTGACTCACTAAGAGTTTTCACGACATCTGCATCACGACGGCCGGAGACCCCGAGGGCATAAATAAATTCTAGCACTTGAGCCCTTATCTGAGTTACTTATAGCCAGCACAATTTTTTTAGAAGATTTTAATCTCTTACTACATCATCCATTCCCTCTTGGAGAAATACTCTTCTTCTCGCATCATCTTGAATGTAATAACTCGAGTCATCACCGTCTTCGGGCATGAGCCCATGTTCATCTGAGAAGGTTGTCGCTTCCAAGGCAGCAGTGGCCTTCAATAATGATATGCATTTCTGTGCCACGGGTAACTGTGTTTTTGGCATTGAATATACTTATTGCACCGATATGAATAAATAAATAATGAGTTTGAATTTTACTCTGCTTGAAACGCTGAAATTAAGCAATAAATATAGCATAAAATTTTGCTCATTATACTATATTGTTACAGAAGATTTATGGGATAATCAAACCGATTTTTGGTTCCAGCCTAACGGGATGAGTCGTCAATATAATGAAAATATAACTCAGTACTCACTGCAGTGAGTGACAGAGAGCGCATTTTCTCGTCGACGAAAACTTGAGGTCACGGACGGACAGACAGACAGACAGATGGACATGGCGAGCACAACAGTGCATTTTTCCATAAATGAGAAAATGCGCTAAAAACAATTCACGTAAATACTGCAGCGATTTTTACGCGCGTTTTCACTTATGACGTCATTCCTTGTGCGCAGCAGTGTTGCAGGTTGCCCCACGTTACGTTGAACCGCAACTTTTGTACTCGGTGAACCCTAGCCGCCCTACTGCTGGATGCTGTCTACCGACTATCAATTATTTGCGGAATTTGTAATTCTTTCTTTACTCTCAATGAACAAATGTATACTCTTAAATATAAAATGTACTCAGCCAATATTCGCAAAAAGTCTCAACAGTAAATAAATTGAGCGATCGATATTTCCAAGTCTTTTTGCACGTTGATCGGGTTGCACTTGAAAAAGTTTTAGAAGAAGTTGATCCTTAGAAGATAAACTTTTTTTACATCCGCATGCGTAGTTGCTTGATCGATTCTCAATCATTCTCTTAACATTGTTGTCGCTAAATTCATAATACTGTCAGATTAGAGTATTTCATCCGTGATGGAAATGTGATGTCGGAAATATATTTTTGTGTGTAAACTCAATTAGTTTGTTATTTTAAAGCTTATAATTTTTCTCTTGGGTCTTCAATTCTAATCAATTCGCCCGTTTCTATTTTCCAGATTCCATCAAAAGATGCCTGTTCTGTTTTATATTTTGTGTGTATTTGCGATAAGCCCTTCAATACTTGTCACTCTACTTGCTCATGAGTGGAATGTAGACGAGAGTTTGGCATCGCAAGTTTTTCCTTCAGTCAGACTGAAAAGAAATGCCGAGCAAAGATTTACACTCGATAAATTCGGGGCCATTAATACCGCTACCCCAGATTCTGCCGACGGAAACCTCGACGAGGATTTCATGAATGCTGTTGAAGTGTTCGACCCTGAAGCCTCTTCTTCACATGACAGCAAAGGAAGTTCAAATAAAATTTCTAGCCAAAAATCTACTGTCGAAGATTCAGCCTCTAGTCAAATGAAGGGAAATGCAACTTATGTAAACTATTGTTGCTCGCCTGAAGAACTGTACGACTTCGCGACGATGCAGTGCGTACCTAGCAATGTTACTACCAAAGCTGTCTTCCACGACAATGTGAGTCTATAATTTTAAATAAATAGTACAGTTTAGATTAGATGAAGATGCGTTTTCTGTCATGAAATTATTTTCATTTTAAATCAAATCTTATGATGGACATAATCTATTTATTGTGTAATGTTGATCAAACAGTCTCATAATTTTTTTCCGCTTATAGAAGAACATACTAAATGTTATGTTATGTTATTTTATGTTATGTTATATTATGTTATGTTACGTTGCATTATGTTATATTATGTTATGTTACGTTGCGTTATGTTATATTATGCTACGCTGCGTTACGTTGTCTTGTATGTAACTGCCGTTCCCACACACAGACAGGGGCTCCTGTAACAGGCATACACCAGGTAGCGGTGGTATGTTATGTTACGTTGCGTTATGTTATATTATACTATGTTACGTTGCGTTATGTTATGTTGTATGTAACTGCAGTATCCACACACAGACAGGGGCTCCTGTAACAGGCATACACCAGGTGGCGGTGGTAGGTCTCCCGAACTGCAGCTTCTACCACCTCTCTACCAGCGTCAACGGCAACCAGGACCAGTTCATCCTCAAGCCTGATGGTTAGATTTATTAAGGATATAATATTTTTGTTAATGTTACATTTCTCNCATAAACTGTCTCTTATACACATCTAGATGTGTATAAGAGACAGGTGCTAGCCTGCTTGGAGATCTAGGTTCGTCTTCTTCACTTTTATTCAGGGCAGGATTATAATTTTCTAGATCTAAGCCAGCTCGCATCACTTAATATAAGGCTTTATTTAGAAAAACTCTCGTCGATATATCCATATGGGTTGTCTTCAACATATTACTTTGTTTTTCTATATAATCAGGCTGCAAGTTATTCTTTGATTAAACCATATAAGCATGATATAAATGTTGAAATACATTTAATTCTATTTATTTTTTCATAAAATCTTATCAATTTTTATTTTCTTATGAATCTGAGTTGAATCATTTAAGTAAACCATGAAACAATAAAAAATATTTTATTATTTCAAACACACAGTTCACACAATTCGACAATTTTTCGATTTTGAACATCGATATGAGGTAGAATAATTATTGATCTCCAGAGCATTAAAAATTAGCATTAAATCTATATGACTTGTGATCGATATTTTCTGTAGACCTCATCTCTGGGGGCTAAGGACTCTCACGCAAAGACTGGAATAATGTTAATGTTCACAATAATTTATCTAAAGCGTCTTACTTCAAGGGGGGTTGGTGAAAGACCGGAAATTTTAATGATCATTAGTGATCAAAGACTGGAATAATATTAATGATCACAACAATTTATTTAAAGTGTCTTACTCCAGGTGGGTTGGTGGTGGGTGACCTGAGCGACTACTCCGACGCGTCGCCCTTCACGGTCCCGTATGGGAAATACTGCCTTGTGTTCCCGGCATATGATGTCATGGAATCGTTCGTCTGTTTCCCCGAAGTAGACCCGGTGAGCTTGTTTCTCTTATGCTGTTTATTGTCTAATCAAGGAAATTTCATTATTTTCGGTCATTATTCTACGATTTTTTATAACAATGGTACAATATTGAAAGATTTATTCATCACCAGAGTCGCCATCAAGTGCGAAGTCAATTTCTTATATGGGACTGAACTGTTGCCTTCCCATTACCTTATTAAACAGAGTTATTAAACAGAGAAACTTGTAAATTAGCATGCATGTTTGCCATCATGCGAAGTGCTTCTTCGGAGAAGAAGCACTTCGATTTTTTATTAATATCGAGTATTTTGTAGCAATTCTTCAAAAACAATTAGGGTCATTAATGCTAAAATATCTTCCTAAATTAAGAAAAGAAACAGGAATTGTCAAGTACCGCTTTGTCGTCACCATAATATATCGAATTTGTCTGCCTGCTAATGCCTACATTTCCACGACATCACTCAAACGTATTGATGTTGAAGATTAGTCCGCTAACTGCACGCCCCACGATCGTAATCTTACTGTCCCACGGGGCATATTTTTCATCGAACTGTCCTTGTCGCGCCTTAAAAGTAGCCCGAGGATTAGGCTTCTTGCGATGCCTCTGCTGCCGCAATCTGTTTTGTCACCGCTTTAGGTTTCATCATTCAAGAAAAAAAAACACAGATGAGAATCGTTTGTCTTTTCTGAGCATCTGCTGCTGGCTTCTCTCGGTTGGATCAATGTAAAACTTTTGTCATCAGCCCTATATAACTCAGCGGGGTCATATTTTTAATCGTTTTGCTACTAACTTATCCAATTTAGAAAGAATATATCACACTGAAATCCATTTTAAAATTATTTTGGATCCACAACCGAGACTAGCCCTCAATTTTTTCTACTCGCGTTTGGTCATGTTTAGACTTGGGCCCCATCATGAGTCGAGCATCGGTCTCACTGATGTAAGCACATCCGAACACCGTGGCTTGGTTCCCAAGAAAATTGCCCTGTAGACTGTAGTTCCTCAGCTTGTTATTTTAGCTTGTTATTTTCGTCACGGGGCCGTGTGCTGGTTGGAACACTTAACAGATACAGTCTTCTCATCACAGTTTAATTTGTTATAAATCGTTAGGATGATTGTTTTATATATGTGCTGCTATTTATACACTTACGTTTATTGCATTTCTGCTCGGAAATATATTCTGGTCTGGTCACGACACTCTTGTCCAAACATTGTGATAAAAAACTAGGAATTCGCTGGGGAAAAAACTGCTTTCATGAAAATAATTATCCGTAATTTATTTGTGCTATAAGAATCTATTAACGCATTCGTATTGCCTTCATTCATTGTCACAGACTGTGGAAAACTCCCAAGAGAGCTTCAAGCGCGCCGTGTACCCGGTATGCCTGCTGGTGAGCGCTGGCTTCTTGCTGTTGACGCTGCTAGCGTATTTGCACTATAAGAATCTAATAACGTATTCTTATTGAGTTATTGGTTTTATTTGTTAGCACAGACTGTGGAAAACTCCCAAGAGAGCTTCAAGCGTGCCGTGTACCCTGTATGCCTGCTGGTGAGCGCTGGCTTCTTACTACTGACGCTGCTAGCGTATTTGCACTATAAGAATCTAATAACGTATTCTTATTGAGTTATTGTCTTCATTCATTGGCACAGACTGTGGAAAACTCCCAAGAGAGCTTCAAGCGTGCCGTGTACCCGGTATGCCTGCTGGTGAGCGCTGGCTTCCTACTGCTGTCGCTACCAGCGTATTTGCACTATAAGAATCTAATAACGTATTCTTATTGAGTTGTTGTTTTCATTTGTTGGCACAGACTGTGGAAAACTCCCAAGAGAGCTTCAAGCGCGCCGTGTACCCGGTATGCCTGCTGGTGAGCGCAGGTTTCTTGCTACTGACGCTGCTAGCGTATTTGCACTATAAGAATCTAATAACGCATTTATATTGTCTTCATTTGTTGTCACAGACTGTGGAAAACTCCCAAGAGAGCTTTAAGCGCGCCGTGTACCCGGTATGCCTGCTGGTGAGCGCTGGCTTCCTGCTACTGACGCTGCTAGCGTACTGCGTGGTCAAGGAGCTGAGGGCGGACCAGCTCTCCAAGTGTTTCATGTGTAGCGTCGGTATGCTGGCATGCGCACAGATTATCATGGTCGCCGGCATGTGGGGCAGAGATGACCTCATGGAGTCAACGATGTGCGTCATAATAGGTCAGAATATGAGACTAAAAGACTAAAAATTAAAAATTAGATCAGTACATACTACAGTGAATGACAGAGAGCGCATTTTCTCGTGTATAAATCAATTTTCATTGCGATTAGTGATGTCACGGACGGAGCAATACGAGCACACTAGCGCCTTTTTTCCATAAATGAGAAAATGCGCTAAAAATGACGGAAAGAGAGCAAAATTCAAGCTCCATGCAGGCAATGACAGTCACATATCTGCTTATATATGTACATTCTTGGACATTTATAACGTTATTGAGTTTATACTGAATGGTTTTGATTACTCATGGTGTAGACTCAATTAAAAGCAGTATTTGTCGTACAGCTCATATTAACTGCTTATTCGCTCCCCATCCTCTTATCCATAAAGTAAAGTATCCTCAATGCTTCAAGTCCAATTTTTTTAGTGATTTCAGGTTCAAAAATTTTTTGAAAACCAATTTTACAGCCAATCGAGCATTTTGTAATTTGAAGAACTATTTATATATATATAGACTTATTGATTTATATATTTAAAAATTTATTATAAAAGATTTTACTGCGATTTATATTACTAAAATAATTTTTTTTTACAGCTTCGTTGTCGCACTTTAGTTTCTTGTCTGCTTTCTTGTGGCTGAACGTCATCTGCATCATGATCTTCTCCTCCCTCTGGTGAGTTCATTGTTTTAAATTCTATTCTTTACTTAGCACTGAATGTCAAGACTAAAACTTTGTAATTTTCAAACCTGTTGGCAATCGTGCTATAAGATGGTAATTACTTAGCATTTAATGTTAAAACTAAAACTTGGTAATTTTCAAACCTGTTGGTAATCGTGCTATAAGATGTTAATTACTTAGTACTGAATGTTGAAACTAAAACTTGGTAATTTTCAAACCTGTTGGTAATCGTTCTATAAGATGGGCAAGAAATCACCCAGTTTTTACTAGCGAGTTTTTTTCTTAATAATTCGTCTCACGACTCGTAAAAAAAAAAGCCGGTGTACAGGCATTTAGTTGTCATGGTATGAGTATGTTTTTAATGATAGGGTTCTGTGCAGAATAGATATTTGGCCTTGATTTTAGTTATTTTTAATACAAGGGTTTTGTGCCAAGGACTTATATTGCCTTGATTTTAGTCGTTTTTAATGCAAGCGTTCTGTGCAAAAGACTATATTGCCTTGGTTTTAGTTGTTTTTAATGCAAGCGTTCTGTGCAAAAGACTATATTGCCTTG